AGGGAAAAGGTTTGTGGGAAGTATTTAGCATCTCTCAGCTAGCACGGCTTTCCGTGGCTGGAAGGAAAGTGACACTAATGCCATGCTTAAGATTATCTTCAATACAGACTGAAGACCTCACTGCCAATTATCTTTCATTTTGCTCAGAAAACTCTTCCAGTCTTCCCCAAAGGAAATGAATTCCAAATTAAAGTAATGAATATAGGAAATAATAACATGACTATATTTTTTCCTGGACAAACGGTGACACTTGACCCACTGTCTCAAGTAAGTAGAAGGAGATGCAATTTTCTTTTCCTCTTCTGACCTGAGTTATAATAAGATTTGCAGATGCCGATCTTGGTCTTTCTATAAATACCGAGAGAGCCCAGATATGAAATGTCTTAGTATCTTGATCTCCTTTTGTTTTCACTCTAGACCAGTGCACCTCAAACTTTAATGTGCCTAGGAATCACCTGGAGAGCTTGTTAAAATGCAGATTATTCATCAGAAGTTCTGAAATGCTGCATTTTTAACAAGTTCTCAGATGATATTGCTGCTTCCAGTACATGGAACCACACTTGAAATAGCAAGATCTGGGTGAGTGGTTCTCTACCAGGGCCAATTTTGCCCCATTAAAAGACATTTGACAATCTCTGGAGATATTTTTCATTGTCACAACTGAGAGTATGCTATTGGCATCTCCTTTGTAGAAGCCGGGAATGCTGACATATAGCTCCCCACAACAAGAATTATCTGGCCCCAAATGTCAGTAGTGCTGAGATTGGAAAACCCTAATATGGATAGTCATTGGTCTGGATTAGAGGGTCTCAACCTTGAGTCCATATTGGACTCACCTGGAGAACTTTGAAAATTCTGATATGCGTCCCAACCCCACAGATTTTGATTGAACTGGTCTCGCTCCTGTTTAGACATGGTTGAGAACCACCACCTTAGATTCCATGAAACTAATAATTTTTAAGAAACAAAGTTCAACTCCTGATGGTTGGGGTAGCCCAGCATTGATTATTTCTAGGGCTGTTGCTTTTCCCCTGATGCTGTACTTTGTCCAATGACATTTATTTTATAAAACAAAATAAAAGTAAAATGCTAAATGAAAGGTATAATTCCTGTGGTAATACTAAACAACTTTATGGCAGAGTCTATAAGGGTGGTGGGGGACGGAGACAAACTAATGCCAGCTCTCCCACGGCATTTTTAGATGTGTATGAATATGCACTGGGAATATCAAATCATATGTCATGACAGTGTTCAGTTACACAGTGCAGAGCAAGCCTCTGTGGTATTCACTATGACTCCTCTTCCCCCATTGTAGACAAATAATTTTATAACTTTGGATACGGACAAACTGAACAAGATAAACGTTTCTTCTGCTGGATCATCAATCACTACAGTAAATAATACCTTTGAGAAGGGCAATCGCTACACCCTTCTAGTGTGGGCCCCCAATCATTACCAGCTGGTAAGTAGCTGGACACCTACATCTGACTCTTTCCTATTTGTGATGTTAAAAACATAGTCTTTTCGTGGTGTGACTTTGTTTTACTCCTATGTAGTATTACATTTGGTAATCCTCAATTCCTTCTTCAAGGACACAAGTCAATTGACCGCCAATAAAAGTTCTATTGGTGGATGGGAAGAGTTAATCTTAAAATTTTTTTAAAGAAGAATTTTTTGAGCATGGTGTGTGCATGTGTGTGTGTGTGTGTACACAAGTCACACAGAGTAAATGCATGTGAGCATGTATATGCATTTTCAGTGAGTTCTTGAGATAAAGTTTAAAATATATCTTTAATTATATTAATTTTAAATATTTGCACTGAGTAATTAGAAAATTAGAACAGTTTCTGAAAAAAAATAGTGAATATATCAAGTAAAAGCAAAAAAACACATATAAAATATTTAATGACAAAATATGGGTATCTAAATAAGCCATTCAGCATATAAAGAAGCTCTGAAGGTGTACTTGAACTAAATGAAGGCATTGTGGGTGTTGTGTAAGGTGAGCTTCTATAGCACTGCAATATAGAATTAAGAATTCTGGGTCATGTGTTTAATTAGAGAGCTGTTGAATGGCTTGTTCTAAATTCTTGGAAAGCGGTATTCTGTGGAACCACTGGAAAGCAAATATCAAAAATTGTAGAGACTCACGTTAACTTCAAAACAAACAAAAAACAAACAAACGAACAAACACAGCGCTGAGGAATGGAGCCCAGCAAATGTATCATTATGCCCTTAGCTCCCAGAATAAATGTCAACATCATTCTCCTTCTCAAAGCCTAAAATGGTAATCTAAACATATTCTAATGGATTCGATTTGAAAATATTTTCTTTCTCAGGTGAAGGATGGCCTTAACCAGAAACCAGAAAAAGGAGAAAATGGAGTCAGGTGTGTATATTTCTTTAAGAATTAAGTTACATCAGCTTCTTTTGGAAGTAATGCATACCCATAATAAAGTCCAACTGTAACAAGGATATGAGGTTTATCCCAAGAAGGTAAGGCTGGTTCAATATTCAAAAAAATCAATCGGTATAATCCATTATCTTAATAAGCTAAAGAAGAAAATTCATATCATCATATCAATTGATGTAGAAAAAGCATATTTATAATAGCTCCCAAAAAAGATGAAATACTAGTTATAAGCCTAATAAAAAATATACAGGATTCATGAGTTGAAATTGAAAAAGGCTTATGAAAGAAATCAATGAAGGGCTAAATAAATGGAGAGATATGCTGAGTTTGTTGATTAGAAGACTTAATATAGTAAAGACGTCAATTTTTCCCAAATCAATCTACGAGTTTAGTGAAATTCTTATTAAATCATAACATTGTTTTTGTTGTTGTTTATGATTTTCCAGTTTTATTGAGTTATAATTGATAAATAAAATTGTATATAATAAAGTATACAATGTGATGATTTGATGATATGTGTATACATTGTGAAGTACTTACTACAGTCAAGTTAATACATTCATCACCTCACAGTAAACCTTTTTTTGTGTGTGTGATAAGAATGCTTAAGATCTAATCTCTTAGCAAATTTCAAGTATACAATAATACAGTGTTATTAACTACAGTCACCATGTTGTACATTAAATCCTCAGAGCTTATTCGTCTTAGAACTGTAAGTTTGCACCCTTTAATCAATATCCCATTTCCCACCCCCCAGGCCCTGGCAACCACCATTCTACTCTCTTTCTATGAGTTTATTCAAATATTTTTTTTTATTCCACATATAAGCAATACCCTATGCTAAGTTTATTTCACTTATGCTAAGTGAAATAAACTTAGCATAATGCCCTCCATGCTGTCACAATGACAGGATTTCCTTCTTTTTTTTTAATGGCTGAGTAATATTCTATTGTCTATATAATTCAATTATATATGTTATAAAAAAATTTCACATATGTGAAAATTTTGATAAATTAGATTTTATCCAAACTAAAAGCATTCGTTCTGTAAATCTTGCTGTTAAGAGAATGAAAGGGTAGGCTACATACCAGTAGAAAATATTTATAAATTACATACGTGACAAAGAATTTATCATACTCAAAACTCAAATAATAAGAAAATAACCCAGTTAAAAAACAGAGCAAAAGATTTTAATGGACATTTTACCAAAAAAAGATATACAAATGGCAAATTAACACGTGAAAAGATGTTCAACATCATTGGCCATTAAGGAAATATAAGTTAAAACCACAGTGAGTTTCGTGGATGGCTATAATATGTTTTTTTAACTGACAATACCAAAAGGATTTAAGTCCACCCTAATGACCTTATTTTACTTAATACAGTCATTCTGAAGTGCCGAGGGTTAGGATTCCATCACATGAATTTGAAGGGGGACACAGTTCAGTCCATAACACCTTCTTTTGTGTGTTCTGGATTGTTCCTCTGTCTCATACACATGCGCATACCACCTCTGCCCCATCAGCTGTGGAAGGAAATACGCTGATGACGGTCACTGGGCCTTTTCCTGATCTTTGTATTTGATTCTGAATGCAAAGCTGGACGTGCCTCTCGGATTTCCTTTGTACCTCAAAGTGTGCTTTCGTGCCTCAGAACCCACTGTTTGATTTCTTCAGAAATGTCTCCTAACTTTGGACACTTTGGACACTTTGAGTTGCGGTATCATTTCTTCCGATGCTGTTAACACTACTTTTTTTTTTTTTAATTGTCTTTGTTGAGATCTTGGGAAAGAAGGACCCATGAAATCAGCAACACTACCCCCACCAACCTACCCGCGTGGTAAAAGATACACCAGAAACTTTTTTCTTTTCATTAAAACATCAAATCCTTAATAGATCCAAGGTTTTATTATTCCAGTACTATCCAGGAGACAACCCATAGAAAAAGGGGAAGTTCTGAACAACTAGTCAGAAACTAATTGATAAACAGAACAAGTTCAAGAATTTCAAGAAGTAAGATTTCTGAGAAATCTTGAATTAAAGAAAGATTACACAAAATTTTAAGCAAAATGGTGTCCTTTTAATTATGTGGTTTCTGTAAGTTACAAGATTTAAATAGACTACCCTAAACAGAGCCTTTTAAATAAAGTGGCAATACTGCAGTCAAAAACTGATCGAGAACTTAATATTGATCTTTTTCATGCATTTTTTAATGTTACATATTACAACATACATATGTATCTATAAATATGTTTTTGGCATGTTTTTAAATAATGTGTTATTATCCTGTGAATGTCATTCTGAAATAATATAAATAATATAAAATATTATTTTAATATTTTGCCATATTGATATATATATCCCTTATCCATGCACTCAAACCACTGTATAATATTACATTGCATGGATATACCACATTTTTATTTACCTATTTCTCTACTCAAGGAAATTTAGGTTATTCCCATTTTTCCAAACAATGCCACAATCCTCATTCACATGTGTTTCTTTGTCCACGTATGGAAAGTTAGGGAAGTGGTCTTTAAACCTTTTATCACATTCAATAAAAATATTTTGAGCATGCACCCACAATGACTATGATATCTTTTATAAATTATATATAAACTACTATACCAAATTCATATGTGCATCACAAGTAATACAAAAAAGAAATATAAATAGGATAATAAAAGCAAAAAAAAACACCAGTGTCTTACAAAAATCATTAGTGTAGATAATGTGATTGTATGCATCATTCATTTCTAAAAGAAATCTCAGTTTAAGGATTTGAAAAAAGCTATGCATGAGCCTGGTTGTAAGTTTAGTTTATTTCAATCTTGGTTTTCATAACTGTCATACTGATAAAGATACTTTAAGGAGGAAGAGAGGGCGAGGCATAATTGGCCGTAAGTAGATTCAAAAAGAAAACTCAATTTAAAAAATTGTGAAGGTTTTAACAAATGATGCTGGAACAACTGGAAATCCACACACAAAAGACTGAAGTTAGACCTTGGCTACCTGATACCATACACAAAAATTAACTCAGTGGATCATAAACCTAGTATAACGACGACAATAAAATTCATAGAAGAATAATAGGAGTAAGCCTTCGTGACTTGGGTTAGGCAATGGTTTCTTAGATATGAAACCACAAGCACAAGCAACAAAATAATAATAACAACAACAACAGCTTGGGCTTCATCAAAATTGAAAACTTTTGTGCTACAAATGTTATCATCAGGAAAGTAAAAAGACAACTCAGAATGAGAGAAAATATTTGAAAATTATATATCTGATAAGAGACATGATGAATATATAAAGAATTCTTATAAGTCAATAATAAAAGGACAAATAACCCAGTTTTTTAAAGGGGCAAAGTATTTGAATTGATATTTTTCCAAAGAAAATACACAAATGCCCAAAAGCATATGAAAAGTTTCCTAACATCATTAGTCATTAGAGATGGCTATGATTCGCCTAATGCAAATCAAAACTACAATGAGATACCACATCACACTCACTGGGCTCTAATTTTAAAACAAACAGATAATAAGTGTTGGTGAGTATGTGGATAAATCTGAATCCTTATAAACTGCTGGTGGAAATGTAGCCACTTTGAAAAACTGTTCCTCAAAATGTTAAACATATTTACCATATCATCCAGCAATTTCACTCTTAGGTATATACCCCTCAAAATGAAAATATATGTCCACCCAAAAAATTTTAGTTGAATATTCATAGCATCACTACTCACAACAGACAAAATGTGGAAACAATTCAAATGCCCATCTACTGATGAACTATGGTATATTCGTACAATGGAATTTTATTCAGCCATAAAAAGGAAGTGCTGGTATATGCTATAACATGAATGCACCTTAAAAACATTATACTAAGTGAAAGAAGCCAGACACAAAAGACCCCATACAGTACGATTCCATTTACATGAAATGGCAAGCAAATCCGTAGAAACAGAGCAGATTAGTGGTTGCCAAGGACTGCAGTCAGGCAGCATGGAGAGTCACTGCTAAAGGGCATTGAGTTTCTCTTTGACAAAAATTAGATTGTTGTGATGGTTGCACAACCCTGCGGACATACTAAAGCCACTGAATTGTACCCTTTAAATGGGTGAATTTCGTAGTATGTGAATCTATCTCACAAAGCCATTTTATTTGTAAATATGAGAAGGAACAAATCTCTTAGCCTCTTGGTTGTTCTTTAAGGAACTGGTCCCATCTTGTCATTTTCTAAGCTGGTTTTCATTCTCCATACCTCATTCCATGATCACTTTGTAGTCTTAGATCCTGATATTCCTAAGAGACCTAAGCTAACTTTAGCCTTAATGGGACCCTAGGATCCAAAACTATAAGAGCACAATAGATTTTGACTCTCTGCTCTCCTCACCCTTCAAAGCACTCAGAGTATGTTTGCTGCTTATGCTCTACTATTTTCTGTGTGTGCATATGAAAACACGTGTGATGTGTGTGATGTTGCACATTTTTTTTTTTTTGAGATTATTTTCAACCTTTTTGGTATTTGTACCAGCCTGAGAGATGTCAGATAAGTAATAGGTCTAAGAGTGGGATTTATTCAGAGTCTTATGGCTTATAAGTGATAAAGCCAGGACCTAGGCTGAAAGGTCTACTGCTTAACTTCATACTCTTCCCACTGTCTTTTTTTGAGTGGTTCATCTTAATCTTTGACAAGAGTAGCTTTTACAGTTTGGAGCAGTATTAATTCTGCCTGTCAGTTTGAGTTTTCTATATTAATAACTTATCAAACTATACCAAGTTGAATATCCAGGGACATCATGACCTGAGTTTAATTCATAGAGATGTTCTTCCAGTCCTTAGATTTTTACCGGCATTACTTGTTGCCATAAGTTGATGAAACTTGTCCACACATTTTAAGGATATAGAAGTTAAGTTATTATTTTCTATACTTAGATGTACTCTATTAGTACCTCTTATTCTCTAAATTGGATAGTCTACTGTAAATCTTCACTCATCTATTTGGTAGGAAAAATGAGCTGGTGTTATTTTGGGCAGCACCCTTCTCCCTGGGGTAGTATAAGAACGTAAGGGTCTTCTATAGCCTGAGACATTTAAGGAAGGGATCTGTAGTCATCTGCCCACACTGTCACCACCTATATGGTCCCTTGAAGGCAAACAGTTCAGCTGGTTCCATGTGAAGCTTGGGCTTGGGGATTTTGCAGAAACTAGAAGTCTTTTGGGGCATTCCATTCCTAGCTCTATTCCAGCGTGGTGCTGGTCACTGTCACTCCAGGACCTGCAGGCACTGTTCTCTTCCACCCGAAGGGAATTCCTCAAAACCATTTCTGATTGCTGGGCTGGTCCACTTCTTCCTCGCCAGTCCTTGGAGTGCCTCCCTGTCCCAGGCTCCTCTTTAGAGGTAAAGGAAATAAATGGGCTTCCTTCACCAACCCCCAAAAAGAAGCCCCAGTCAGAGGCTGTCTTTTAGGTTCTCAGCAACTTCTGTTTTTGGTCCTTCACCACTTTAGTTCTAAAGCTTCTGAAGCAAAGAACAAAGGCATGGCTGCCTTCTTGAAGGGGAATCAATCATCACCTATTTCGGTCCATACTTAACATCCCAAAACATCATTGAAATAGTTCCTAGTTACAAAGTACTTTGAATAGTTCCTGGCATTTAACCATGTTAAACAAATTCTTTTTTAGATGTGTTCTCATGAGCGGATGAGCAAGGACAAGTCTGGAGTTGCTTACTTTCTGCCTTTATTCTAAAAATCTTCTGTAAACACCTTAAATTCGTTCTGATAGACCAACTTCCGGTGCACATATGTGACTTAGAACAAATCATTCCACAGTCCAGTCACAAGATACATGGTTTTCTGTTTCAGATTTGTAAATGCTTTAAATGAGACTTTAAATGTCACAATGGATGATGGGAAAGTTTATATAAACATCGCCCCTCACACTGGCAGTGAATATCAGTTTTTCTCTTCTGGCAAGTAAGTACCTATACTGGACACCCTGTACCAAGTTCAAGGATTTCAGGTCTTTTTTGTTTGAATAATACATTTAAGCTTTTTAATAACAAGAATGTTAACCTATATTCTTTTTTTTTCCCCCATAGAAAAACCTTCACACTAAGCCTAGCAGGGATTTCAGAACAGTGTAGAAATTCTTTTGAATCATCCAACCTTGAATTCGGTAGTGCAAATACCTATGTAATCACAAGGAAGGTTAGTAACTCATTCCATCATATCAGAAGTTCTACTCAGACTTTCTTGATCTGAGTCCTCTCAAACACTTAGGCTAGAGTAATGATTTAACTAGAGTGGTATTTGGATGTGTATTTTAAATAGGTTTAGAATTAATTCAGTTCATCGCCAAGTCTTTAACTTATCATTGACTTAAGTTCACCATTAGAATGAGACTGAACAGACTGACTTAACTCTTATTAAAAAGTTCACATTGACCAGTATCTGATGCTTTTAGTTCAAAGAGATGGCAATGTTTTAAACATACCTGACTACCAATCTACTCTCTTATTTAAGAGGAAGACACTAGTGAAGATACTTTCAAATCTCACCAAAGGCCATCACAAGTATAAAATGTAGTGTTGTGTATTTACATTGAAAATGTATACTTGATAACCATACGATGTAACCCTAGAAGTCCAAACTCAATTTGCCTGTTTGAGCAATTTTTATTTTAGAAGTGATCTCGATTTTAATGTCTTCTTCTCACTTTCACCTCATTGGTTTAGAGTGATGGCTGCCCCGAACCGAAGATGTTTGAAGATATTTCACCCAACACAGTTAACATAGCTCTGCAAATCCCGCAGTATTTCCTTCTCACCTGCGGCGAGGTCGTTTTCTCTGTCACAGGATTGGAGTTCTCCTATTCTCAGGTTTCTTTTTCATTGTTTTCACCAGCCTCGCCCTACACCCCTGCTTTCAAAAATGCTGCTGGGACTTCATGTAAATCTGGGGTAGCTATATAGTTAGAGTTTTAAATAATTCTAGAAAGCATTCTGGTAGGTTCTACCAAATGAGGTTTTTGAGATCACCAAGTCTTGTCTTTATTGACTAAGAATAGTACTGTTTAGCTTCGTGAGTACATGTATCATATGTGTCTGTATCCCCACAGTCATAAACCGAGGTTTATAGTCCTAAGTAGGAAAAACTATATTGATTGTCACCAGATCCTAATAGTCAGTAGACTGCTTTCTGAAACGACCAGATGGTATCCGCGAGTCGTAAGTCATAATAGTGCTCATTTCCAGGTCTGTGGCCTCATTATCCTTAAGGTTCAGTTGAGGTCTCTCTGTAGCTTCTAATAAACACTGATTAAGGCCTAGCTTTTAAAAGACAAAAAAAAAATACATATTGTTGATTTTATGTATATTACACTAATGAGGCAAATTTTGCTGATATCTGATTTAGAGCTTAATTTCTTAATTTCGATAAATGATTTTATCAGAACTACAGTTATAGTAGTTTTGCATCCCCACAATATCTAGCACCTTTTTGGCAGTAAAGTTTTGCAGTAAAGATTGTAAATGTGAACTGAATAATCCCTTTCTGCAGTGACCTCACAGTCTAATAAAGGAGATTACTCTAACATAGGTGACAAGAGTTTAAAGAGAGGTTTTGGAGACGTGTCAAAAAAGCTCACAGAAGAGCACACTCAAGGCTCAGAAAGCAGCCTCCTGTGTGGGGAAGAGGTGCCCTGCTGGGTGGCTTCGCTTGGACACTCTTCTGTAGAAACAGAATCAGTTCATCTGTAGATTTGTTCGTTTAACTAGGACGGCAACTTGGCAAGTATGTGGAGAGTGAAAAAGGAATCTTTGTATGTTCCTGCAACTTGAGAATTTGGGGTATCTGACTATCCGAGCAATTATCCCTTTTACATTTAAACCAGCCTGAATTTTAATGTGCATTTCTTAGGGTAGACCCTTTAACGGAATGCCTCGGTGAGTTGTGTACTGCTGCTAAGGTTGATATCTAGTTTGGGATTCTCTTTGCTTCCTCAGGCTCCTTCCAACATGAAGTCGGTGCTTCAAGCAGGATGGCTATTGACAGTGGCTGTTGGCAACATCATAGTGCTTATCGTGGCAGAGGCAGGCCAGTTCAATGAACAGGTATGGGCTGGAAAAGGAGATTGTATGTATCTCTGTGCTATTAATGGTCATCATGATGACCCTCCCTAGCCATCTACACATACATAGTCATCTCAGCTAGTGGCTGAATAAAACTGCCAGGCCAGCCAGATAGGGCAGTTACAAAATGGTCTTCAGGCCAAGCATGTGCTGATTCTTATTTTCACTGTGTTACACAGTTGCAAATTGACAAACAACATAACCAGATTGGGTTAACGTGCATACACCTTAATGCGGTTTACTATCAAAGAAAAGACTTTCCCAGCTTCAGTGAATGCAACTTAATGGTCTCAAACCAGACATGTTATCTAGAAACTGTCATAATACCTAAAGTTAAAGCCATTATAAAGGTGGTTGTAATATTTCCAGCTACAATAAAGTAAGGGCTTTTTATGATACTTAAGCTCCCTCCTTCAGCACATTAACATATCTACCTCCTAAGGGAGTTGTCTCTTACCTGAGCCCATCAATTTCACCACTTCCCCTGCTGGGTCCCACCAAAGCATCTGCATGCTCATGACCTCAAGGCACTGCGGAGAAATAAGACAGGAGTCAACTGCAAACAGTCCATCAGGTTCTTTTCCTTTCAAGAGTGCTGCCTGGTGCTCTCTTGGTCTCCATCCTTCCGGGGGCCAGCTACCTGCCTTAAGACTTGGGTTTTTCAGAAATTTTCTCTCATCTTCCCAAAGTCTTGTATTTCTGCATTCCAGTGCTATTTAAAAAAAAAAAAAATGTTATCTTTAAACTCACACATTCAAGAAAAACTGGCCCTTCTGTATCTGTGGCAACAACTGACCATGACATTTATGGCGGTGGCCTACCAATTTTCTATAACAATTTAATTTAAAAGCACCTTCCATCCGGACACAGCAAGAAAATATACCCATGCCATATACACTACATAACTTGTATTGTTTCTGTTTTTTTCTTGCTCCAACTCCAACTTCTTCAAAGTGGGCTGAGTACATTCTGTTTGCTGCGTTGCTACTGGTTGTCTGTGTCATCTTTGCCATCATGGCTCGATTCTATACTTATGTCAATCCGGCAGAGATCGAAGCTAGGTTTGATAAGGATGAAGAGAAAAAGAACCCGGAAAACCCATATTACACATTGGATCCCGTCTCGCACACACAGATGTGAATGTCAGCAAGCAAGTGGAGGATGGATTGGGCCCAGAACAGGCCCTGACTTCTGTCCCCAGGTGGCAGGACACTCTGTAATATGGCCCCTAATGGGGAAGACTTCAGAATTGTGAACCAAACCAAGAAGGCTATTTTCTAAGAAACCATCATTGAAACTAAAACTGGAAAAAGCCTTTTTTATTTTAAGAGAAGTCTTATTTAAAGTGTACATGAGTACACACACACACACACTCTTTTACAACTCTGAGAGCATATCCTGCATTTAACTCCTTTCCTACCACATAGATGAAGTTATTTTGGACTAACTTAATTTTTTGAAAGGGTGGCAAAGTTCCATATTTTTTGCATTCTAACACTTTATGAAAACGATGCTAAATGGGGCACGAGACAATGTGAAAGTGAATTGATAGGCTTTGGGATAGCAGCATCAGCTAGTATTAACCTTTTCCTTTTGTTTTTTCTTTTGTTTTTCCAGTCCCCGCCTCTTTTTAAATTATGTACAACTCAAAAAATCACTCAGACAAAAGCCAGTAATGATTTTTGGAGTTTCAATGATATGAAATAAACTCTTGTTCTTAAGAATAAGTGTCTATGTGTCTTTGGGTAGGGTAAAAAATCCTTAACATGTTTCCTGATTATTGAAACTGCACACTCATTAAAATTTCATAAGAAGTTGATAAAAGCATGAACAAAAGAAACACCCACATATAATAAATTCCAGGAACATGAAATATTGAGATTTATTTCTTCCTGTTCCTATTTTCCCCAAGGATGTGTATATCTACATTTCTCTTTTCTTACCAGGATCTTCCTATGTGTATATTTATCATCTTAAAGTGTTTTTCTCAATACTCATGAACATTTTTCTGCTTGAATAAAAATTCCTCTAAAACATTACAAACACTTACTGCCTAATTCGTCCTGTATTAATCATTTAACCATTTCCAAGTTTCAGACCCAGAATGAGTCTACTTTGCTATTCCTAAACAAACAAGCAACTATTCTTAGACAAACTTGTACATAACTCTGAATGTTGGAACTGGTTCCTGGATTAAGAGGAAGGACCCACGTTGGACCTCTAAGATGCTTCATGCACAAGCTCATCATTGACCTGTGGAGATGGAATGAAGAAAAAGACTCAAAGTCCAAAGCGAGAAATGCAAATGGAATGATCGAACCTTATTGAAAATTTTCCCCATTCTTAGGATCAATGCTCATTCCTTAACTGGGGCCCATATGGCTCTTTTTCCTCTGGACGTATTTCCATTCTCTTTGCATACTCTGATCCAGCCAACATCAAGTTTCTTCTAGTTCCTGGAATGCATTGAGTTCTTACTTCCAAGTCGAAGGCAAAAAAAAAAAAAATCAGTTCCTAAGACATTTAGCACTGCTCACCCTCTACTTCTGTCTGGCTCAGCTCTCTTATTTTCAGGATTCAAGCTACTTCCTCCAAGAGTTTCCCTATCCACATTCCTCAGTGTATCGTAACTCTCTAGCTTTCCCTAGACTGAAAGCTCTGTATGTGCCCTGTTCCACATTCAGTCTCCAGAACGTGGTAGTCCTCTACGTGCCAAATGTCTTAAACTTCTTGGGCTATGAGGAGTGAGATGGAAGGGGCAGAGAACTGAACATTCAGTAACGATTTGATGAGCCTAAGTAATGAACTCTAGTATAAAACACTAGCTATAAGGGATGCCTAATGTCTCTCCCATTGTTTCTACCCTCTAACTTCTTTCCATCTGCTCCTTTGTTGGGGGAAACCAACAGTTACAGTTGAGCGATGTTTTCATTACTCATCTCTTGTCAATAATCAAAAGAGAACTAATCCTAAACCCTCAAGAGATATTCTAGTCCTAACTTCTCTTGAGCCTCTGGGTAAGTTTGGGCCGCTCTGGACCTTTTAGATCTTATTTCTTTCTCTTGCGAAACAAACAGAACACTAGACATTCCGAGGTCTTAAAAATCCTTTGTGGGTGTCTGCCATACAATAGACTTAAAAATATTTGAGTGGAGGCACGCCCCTCTATCAACTCTGATGTTAACACTGTAGATTGCTTTGCATATAGATGGAAATGACACCTACATCATCTGCATTAGCCTTTAAAGGATATGACCAGGGCTTAGAGGGGAACTGGGGATTTTGCCCATCAGCACTGAGTTTTCAGAGTTATCTTCCCTGTAGCTTTTATCCGTTTTTTTCTAAACATAATCAAGGCTGATGGGTGCCAACATCGGTGTTCTAGATGAGAGACATTAGACAATGACAAATGTCATGGGGCAGAGGTGGATGAGGAGAAATCAGTAACCTCTGGTCTTCTGCCCTTTCCTCGGTCCCCATTTTTTTTGTGCTTTATGACTTTCTCTAAGTTTTGGGCTAATCAGAGTATAATTAAAATAGTACACTGACTTGAAAGACTGGCTACTGTTAAAGTACAATTCACCATGGCAACTTATGTTGATAATGGAAATGTTTTCATTGGAAATAGGAGGACTTCATCGCTTATATCAAAAGGCTGGAATATTTCGGGCAGTATTTATAATGTACATACAAATCTTTTTCATAGTGACCTATTTTTATTTTGTTTACACATTTCTCCATAATATTTTTTATTCTGTGACTGTTCTTTATTTCAAGACATTAAAATATTTATTTTGCAATCTATCTTATATTTTATAAAATTACTTCACTAAAAGTATGTTCAAATTTGATTTTTATTGACCATTTAGCCATAGGTTTTTGTCATGCATTCTGGAATTTTTATTTTTTGTAGCCCTTTTTTTTTTTTTTTAAATGACAAACAGTGGTAGTTAACCTTTGTTGGACACTGAGTATGTGCATGTTATGCATGCATAGCATGTTATGCACTCTATTTCATGAAGTTTACAAGCATGTAATCCTTGCAATAGCCCGATAATGTAGATTACTATTATTATTCCCATTCCACAGAGGAGTAGTTCCCTTAACTGTTTCCATTTCATAGTGGCCTCCTAAAGCATTCCCTGTCCATCATCACCACAGGAAAGAGAGAGAAGGGAGGTACAGGCCATCCATCACAGAACTTCATTTGACAGTTTTCCCCAGCTTTGTAGCTTCCTGCAAAAGGTGACAAGAGCCCTTTCCTAAACTGCACCTTTGAGCAGAGATGACATTCTCTGTTGCCCCCTGCTGTTCGGCCTGGATTCTAGTCTTCGATAAGACCAGCCTTCAGTGAGACTAAACTTCAGTAAGTCACAAGTCTTAACTCAGGTCCTTGGTTTGGTTTACAAGCAAACAGTTCTCAGTACAGGCATACCTGGGAAGCGTTGCAGATTCCAGACTACCACAAAGCAAGTGTCACAATAAAGCGAGTAATAACCTTTTTGCTGGGGGAGGATCTCGCCTCCAATTTGTTAAAACTGTAACATCTGTGAAGCTCAATAAAGCAAAGTTAAGAAAACAAGGTGAGACTGTATGTCTCACTCAGCTACTCAAAGTCACAGCCCATGTGTGTCCAATAAGTACTAAGGACCCAGAGCAGGCATCCCAGGAGTGAGTGAGTGAGCCCTTACGATGGAATTCGTGTCCTTAGACAAGGAAAGGAGATCTCTCTCTGCAGTGAGAAGGCAGCAGTCTAAAAGCCAGGAAGAGAGGTCTCGCTAGAAAACAATCATAATGGTATCTTGACCTTGGATTTCCAGCCTCCAGAACTGTAAGACGATTAATTTCTATTGTGTTATTTAAGCCCCCAAGTGTGTGGTATATTGTTATGGCAGCCTGCGTTGATAAATACAGGGACAGACTGTCCCTGTCTGTCAGAAACTGAGTCAGTTCCCTGGACAGTCTTGGGCAAACCAGGACAAGTTGGTCACCCTAATTTAGGAGCTGATGTCTGTAAAGTGCTTGGGCTTCCTCCAGTGCATGGCGTGTAGTAAGTGTAAGTGCTCTGTAAGTTCCAGCAGTTGTTATCTCATTCCTTCAACGGTGATTATTTGGTAACCTGCTCTGGGCTAAATGTGGCTTAATGTAACTGGGGGTACAAGATAGAAAAAGCCTGCTGTCGTGGAGTTAATGAGCATTTATTGAGTGCCCAGACCAAACCATCAGGGTCTAGCTGTGACCGGTTAATTATGGGACTGTGTCAGAGTGGGAGGACAAAGTTCAGGCACAGCTGGGTTCTGGGGAGGTGACCCTCAGTTACTTCTCTCAGCCGTCCTTCCAGCAGAAGCCACCTAATGAGGTAGTTCTGTTCTCTCATGTTTCTTAAAAAAAAAAAAAAAAGGAAGCTTGAGAAGCTGGACTTGGTCAAATGACCAAAAGTGTTTTGCAAAATGGCTCTGGGCAAGCCCCTCAGCCCTGAACTTTTCTTTTGACAAAGTGAAGTCATTGCAAACTGTTGGTATGGAAGTTTCCCATCTTGGCCACAAGGTGGCAGAAGAGAATGTGCTTTGGAAAATGTGGCGCCAACAAACAGCTTTTGTAAATTGTCAGAAATATCATATTAGGAATTTTTCATGAATGCATATCAGAAGGCTATATCAGATACTGGGTGTTTATATATCTAGAAGTTTCTTTCTTGCTATTGGCATTTGTGGACTTTTATTCTCTATGGGACTCATACAAATTCCAACAGGAGTCACTTCCTCAGTAGTAGGTCACAAGGTCACATGTGAAAGCAACTGGCTTTATGTATACAGTTGGGAAAGAAACATTTATCAAGCACTTCCGACATGCCAGAGTTTGCATTATTTTACATCTATCCTCATCCACTCTTTATTCGTTCAAAAATATTTATTAAGCTTCTGTTTTCCAGGCATTGATGCAGGCCAGATAAACTGATATATATCAGGTGTTGATGCTATGTGCTTCAAGTACTATGAAGCAAAAATAAACAGTAAGGAGATGGAGAGTGGTGAAGGCTGATATTTCAGATGGGATGTCCAAGGAGGGCTTCTCTGAGGAGGTGACATTTGAGCAGAGACCTGAATGGCATAAGGGAGCAAGCCAGGCAAATGCCTAGGGGAAGAACATTTCAGGAGGGACCCTACCAAGGGCAAATTCCCTGACATGGGAATTTGGTTGGCATGTTTGAGAACAGCAAAGAGGCTCCTGTGTCTGGAGTGTAGTGAGCAAGGGATCAGGGACAGGGGACTCAAATTGATCACATAAGGCCTTGTGGGCCACGACAGGGACCTTGGGTTTTGTCCTGTGTGTTTGGGGAAGTTGTCAGAGCAGTAGTCCTCACTGCGGGCTGTTCATTGGAACCATCCGAGGAGCTCTAATTCCAATGCCTAGGCCTCACCCAAGACAACTGGAATCGGAACTCTGGGGTTGCAGCCTGAGCGTGCTGGGTTCTTCTAAAGGCTCCCAGGGATTCTGATATGCAACAAAGGTTCAAAACTAGCACTCGATATAGTGTGTGGAAGCACAATAAAAACTGTAAAGACATGATGCAAACACTATGATTAATGACAACATGTGCCTTTCTGGAATAGCAACTTTAGATGTAGTGCACACATGGAAACATGGCGTTGGTCACTGAGGACAGCTGTTTAAACTCTGAACTTTAAGTTGGAACTCCTGCCTCCCATCAACTCTAATGAAT